ATAATAGTCACGCTCTTTGAATTGACTTTTGAATTTTTATTTGATGTATGAAGGAGTCTGTAGCTTTGTAAAGAATTAAAGCACTAGAAACACTAGTGGCCACGTATAACAATACACTGACACATCTCCCAACCACACCTTCAACTTAGAGAGAAACTCCCTGAAAGAGATTTCCTTGGGACAAAATGAACAAACCAAGTGAAAACTTCATATTTTTTCTGAGTCAACTTGATTTTCCTGCTGATTGGTGCCAGTTACCCAATAGACCAGATGGCCTAGTGGATAGCGCTTTGACGTTTGAAGCCAAGGGTACTGGTTTCCAGTCCCAATGGAAATATCGTCACTCACTGGGAATCGCAGGTACATTAAGCCGACGAGTCCCAAAATGGGCGAAAGTCGCATCCTGCATTCCACTACTAGTCACCATCTATCAAAAAATTTAATTACATGTGACAGTAAGTGTTTTAGTGCAAACTATGAATAAGTCACCGGAATCAATCATTTTCATGTTTAGACTAGTTTGTCCGTAAATTTCATAGAAATAACTAAATGCATTCTATATTATATTTCCACCCTCGAAAATGGTGAAAGTCATCAAAATATTGTCAAAGGTTTTCTTTCGTGCTACTACTATTAACCAGTCTAATAAATACAAGTAGCTATTTCTTCCTGACCCTTCAGAAGTTTGAACACGGAACCTTCTGGTTGCAAAGTGAACTCGTAGACCATTCAGCCACTGGGAGGGTATCCAGCGCAATCGCCAGTCACTGTCATAGGTGGGTAACTGTCCTCTTATCTGTCTTGGTGGGAACTTGCGTACTGCCGAAGTGTATCAAACTGGGGAAATACAGTCGTTCTCTAAATGTCATCATTTCGTGATCAAACGTGTAGCCAAACAAATCCCTGTGAATCAACATTTAAACATATATGAATACAGTTTTGAAAAGTAGAAACTGTGGCTAAATCACAGTGAAAAAGCCAGTGCTCAGTTGTCTGTTAAACAGTTAAATATGATTGTTATTATAATGCATTCACATGATAATATTTGTTGTGGATCCTGATGAATGAGCTCCAAAATTTCTTTTAAGACTTCATCGGCTAGTATAAACTGAATTAGTCAAGGCTTCGTTCCTTAGCAACTTTCTTTTCGTGAAGTTACTAATCGGCTGCAGAAAAGGCTTGTAACAAGCACTTCTGTCACATTCAACTTTGAACTCATTGTATTCTTTTATCGTTTTGTTGATTGGAAGAAAGTTTTTTGCATTTTCAAGTTTTGTTTTGCAGGGATTTGGCTGGTTTCAGTTTTGGTCATGAGCAGATATTAGTGACAGAACCATTTGGACAACCGCTTCATCCTTGTTTTTGGCTCTACATCGGTACAAAAGCCAGCAAGATTCAAATCCGGGACCATGGATCTGGTAGCTAAGTGGTCTACGAGCTCACCTTGCACTCAGAAGGTCCTGGGCTCGAACCCTGGAGATGGATGCGTCCTGATGAAGAATCTTCAAATAGGAAAGAACAACCGTCCAGTACTCCCTGGTTTTCCAAATGATGTCAGCTGGTGATTAAACCTGTAAATATTGTAATTTCTTCACAGCAGCCTGCTTAAAACTTGGGCTACCAAAAACTTCCATCTCTTTTTTCATAAATTTCTTAATGGTATCGCCTACTCTTGTGTGTATTTAAAATGTTTACAAGCTTTTGTTTCAAAAGTTCCTGCTAAAATTGGGGAAAGGACTGATTGTGGGTGACAACGTGTTCCAGTACATGAGATAACTGTTATCCACTTATGTCCTTGAGTCTCAGAATGTACTTCTGAACATCTTACAATTGGCTATCAACCAGATACTGTGAATTTCTTGAAGGAGACAAAGTAGACATATCATTATGGAATGGTTTGTGCTTCAGCTGAGAGACCGTTGTGTCACAGGAAGGATATACTCTCAATTAATATTTTTCTTGAAGATATTGTACGAGAGGAATATATCATGCAATAAACTCCTCTGAAAATTCTGTACATTTTATAAATACTGTCCAGAATAAAGATGTCATTATTATTATGCACTCAGTTCGCTTACAAAAATACTTTGGAATATAAATGTGCAACTGTGTCACTGGCGACTGAGTACTGTAAGAATCCAAATATTTCACATGAGTCTTTTAGTCGGTTAAAGTGGATACCGCATTTAAAACACAGATCGCAAAGACTGTAATTGGGTATTTAGATGACGCAAATAAAAGCAATTTGGAGTTACTGACTGAACTTTACAGTATCCAGTCGCCCATAGTCAAACAGACTTAGTTTGTAAGTAAGCAATTTTATTTTGAAACCACTCTCATTAATTTCATACACATGGTTTCCTTGGCAAAGTTCCTTAATCATGGAATCATACCCCTCTGGTTGTTAGGGAGAAAATATCTAGAAGTTCAGCAGAGATATCTTTTCGGCGATTTCATTCTCAGAAGCTGCACATACGAATTTGTACACATTATTATTATTCCCTTGGGTTCCAAGCGGAGCATAGGGCATCAACAACACATCTCAACTTTCTTCTATTTTCTACGGTCCCCTTCAGCTGGGTCCATGACTGACTACAATTTCTCATCTATTCCAACTCGCACGATCTCCTCCATGTCACCCTTGTATCAACCGCCCACGCGTCGCTTATCATTGGGATTTTACTCGAGCAACGGCCTGCAATACGCGCGATGTTATTCGACGGCCTTCTCAATGGCATATGCCCGATCAATCCATCTCCATTTTCTTCTACATAGCTGTTGAGCAATAAGTTCTTGATTGGTTCTCTCCCAGAGTTCCTTGTTGACAATTTCTTCTGGCTGGCAGGCCGGCTGGTCATTTGATAATCAGTATGGAGCAAGCTAGCGAAATGGGCAGCTGTTGATAAACGTCTGAAGTGGCTTGTTGAAAATGCTTTTCGTGACACACCGGCCAGGTTTCTGGCCCGTGTAGAAGAAGTGATTGACCCCACATTGGTGTTGAACAGAATCTGAATCTTGTTATTTATGCTGAGGTGTAGTGCAGAAGATTTCCAAACTGGTTTCAGGTTGATGAAGGCGTATCTCGCCTAGCCTTTCCGATTCTGGTTGACTGGATGGCTTTGACATCTTCATCTGTGTCCAGTGCCCATGGTTGAAACTGTGCTTTCTAGCCAGATAAATGAAGGAAACAACCTCTGCTAAATCTCTCCCATTGATGTTGATTGGTGCCAGTTGTTGTTGCTGCTACTTTTGGTTGGTTATCTTCATCACTTCCATCTTCTCTATGTTCGCCTGGAGTCCTAATTCTTCTTCTTGCTTTCATAGACAGAAGACACATAAGTTCATATAAATATGGAGGCATCCTATCTATGTAAACTTATGTATATGAATGCTTTTGAGAATGAAATCACCGAAAAGATATCTTTGTTCGACTTCTTGTTCTTTTCTCTCAAATTCCGATAAAGCAGCTCATTCATTAACAGCATTCATCTTATCACGTGACTCTAACACACTTATTCAACTCCACATATGCACTGACTATTATGAACAACTATGAATATGACAACCCATCACTTTTGTTACTACCCTCTTTCATGGAAAAAAACATTTATATGAATGTGATCGTACAGCTGAAGAGGAGAGTCAGTTTGCCGAAAAGAGCCTCTTCTGTGAACTACCTATTTTGTTTTCATTGAAGCAAGAAAGACTGAATTTGTCTTCCATTCAAAGCATACGGTGTATTACAAAGAACTCACAAAACAATGAAAGGAGCGGTAAAAGGGCGTTTTCCAGCATCTAAGCCTTCAGTACTCTACAGCACCACGTGCTTAATAAGCCAATCTAAACTGCATAAGTACCTTGCTGATGTCACCTTCAACTGAGCTTATAAATTTACATACATCTATGGTGGAGAGAAAGAAGGGCTTCTATCTTATTTTCTGAGTACATTCCAAGGAAACTGTTGTCAGACACCTTTTGAATAAGGGGCATTTTATTGAGATTTCAAAATCCTTCAAATAATATTCAGCATTCAATAGACAGCAAATTCACTACGATTTACTGAGGCGATTGTAATCAAACGTTTCAAACTAAACTTATGCTTACAGAAAGAGAGCGTGATTAAACTTGGTAACTGCATTTTGATTACATTGATTAGTCATCCATACTAGTGATTTCAGCTCACTGAGCAAATTTCATTCTGATGAACTATATGACCATCTTGAATTGCCATGTAAACTTATAAGCTGACAAACACTGTTTATCGAATCTTTCCGTTTTCTGTCTTCACATCCTTCAACCCCCCTTTATTGGCTTTGAAAGGAATATAAATTGATGGTAACTTAAACCACACAAAAACAGTTGTAACGTTTACACTTTGGATGCGTTAATTTTTTTAAATAAAACACTTTCCGTACTAACATTCAAACTTTGAAGTATACCACTTTCATTCTATTATAACCACTGTGATTGCAGGTAGTGGCGTACAGTTGATGAGAACTCGTCAAATAGAATGATTTTCAAGAGTTCGTTTGAGGTAAATTGATTTATTTAAGGTTTGCTAACGGACTCATCGGAAGTACGTACCCACCGTCAGGGTTCGAAATTAGGGCCTTTCGGTTACAAGACACGAATTGGTAGGTGCTAGAATTCATGCGGTGGCCAATGACTCGGACAGCGGAGGCTGATTGGCCTATGAGCTTGCCTTCTAGCCAGAAGGTCCTAAGTGCGTACCGCTGATGGGTCCCAAACTAGGGCAAAACAGCTGGCTGTCCAGTGAACCCTGGTCGGTTTTCAACGGTTCTCCAACTGATATCAACCCGTGGTCAAACTTGAAATGCAATGATGTCATTTTATACTGTGAATTAGGCCTTCTTGCCTTATCCGTATTCTGATTAACTCAAAATCTGTGTGAATAAACCTTAGAAAGACTGCCAATAATACCAAAAAAGAAAGTAGGCCAAAAACAGCATTATCATTATTATTATTATTCCACCACTTACCCGAAATATTTACACTTCCTATGCGTATTACACTTGAAACGTTTTTACCTACATGCCAACCATTGATTTCTTTAATCGTAATCCTAGAATCCCCAGCCTGGGTCATTAAATAGGCTAAATAATTAGCAAATACTCCCGACTGATCGTTTATATCGTCATCATCTTGATAAACGATTAAAACATCCAGTCGATTTAAGTGTTTTAAAATTTTTACTAAAGCCAACGATACTTGATATTTACTAGCACCGATATGTAAACTTGCAATATTTGTAAAATCTTGATAATTCCGATTTGTTGTATTCAAACAATTCATAGTTGTACTAGGCAGTAAATTCGACTGGTAGGTTATCTGTCTTGGAGGACATTGAAAGCTTGTATGATAAACATAAGTACTACGCGGTTTCATACAATCCATATATGGTATCAATACTAGCTGATTCATTTGATCGCATAAACCAAGATCATAAGGTCCTACAATGACATGATAATAAATATTACTTAAATTTATTGTATCAGCAAGTTGTTGAGCTTTAGAATGTGTTGTCAATAGAGTATTAAATGTTGAATTGGTTAATTTACATTCTGACAGAGGAATTAAATACTGTTCAATACTATTATTGATAATATTATTGTTCAATGCCCAATTAATTGTTGTTTGTGAATTTAAATTGATTGAATCTTGAATACTGGCGGTGAAATTAAATAATCCACTTGGTGATAGACAACCATCAAAAGGTATTAAAATAAATAATCGTAAAGAATAAGACTGACTCTGATTTTGACCATTTAGTATAGAAAATAAATATATGAATGAATAAAATAAATGTTTTATAACAATTGGCATAATTTGTTTTAGATTATTTTGTAAGACCCGCTTTAATTTTTGTTTAAATACACACTGATGTAAGCGTCAAAAAAATAATGGAGATTTAATTAATAAGCCTTATCAAGTTGTTCGATTCATTCTCTTTTTGTAGCGTTTTTCATCGCTTACATTGACAAACAAGTAAAGTCCTTTTGAAGGAGTTTATCTACTTAGGAATTCGAAGATGAGATGTTCTAGAAAGTCGCATTTGTAGTAGAGATAGGTAGTTGTTGTGGGCAGTGTTGCATGAACTTTTTTTTTATTTCTGTAAAATGTAATTTTCGATTAAATTAAAAAGTGTATTTTACAGTTTAAACAAAATATTGAAATGATGAAACGAATAGTGAATTGAGTTTTATCTGATTTATATATGAATATATATATATATATGCATTTCAGAAAATAGAGGAGGATAAACGGTAACGCCTCATACAGTATAAATGAGAACTATTCCACATAATACGATTGGATGTCCTAAATAGCTTTATTTATTTCATTTCATTTCATTTTAAAGCTAACAGAAAGATATATTGAATTCATGGAATGAAAAGCACGAAAATAAACAAGTTTCATAATATACTAGAGAAGATATAAGTACAATTACAGAAAGTAGCTATTTTTCAATAACATTTAGGCAGGTGATTGTATGAATTTCAGCCTGTATAGATTGTCTGCTTTTAAAAACCTTGTTGACGCAAACATGTGCTGAAGCAACCTTGATAAGTGCAATGCATTTGAATGAGAATCTTCAAAACTACGCATCAGCATAGAATAGCAGTCAATCCTGTACCTCAGCTTCATTAACTTTGAAAAGGCATTAGACAGCACTGAGTGCGAAGTATTTGGAAACTGCTGCAACACTACGGGGTGCATGGCTGCAAACCTTTATCAGCCTCATTCAACGGCGATAAAGCGTTTGAAGTGAATACAAGAGTAAGACAAAGCTGTTTACTGTCACCGATAATATTCCACACTGTCGTGGACTCGATCATTCAGTAGGTCATAGGTGGCGCTAGGACAGGAATAGGTTTGGTTGACAAGAAGACTCTAGAAGATTTAGACTTTGTGAATGATTTATGTATAGTACTACATAAACTCGAAGGCTTACAGTTGAAAAACAATAATTTGTCAGAAAAGGCTGGCAGACAGAGAATACAAGACTTCAAGCGAACATAGAGACGACACAGTTGATGAAAATAACTAACCAGCAACAGCAAGCACCAATCACCACCAACGGGAAGAAATTTGAAATAGGTCATATCCTCCACTTTTGTGACTAGGAAGCATCGTTTCAACTACAGGTGACAGCAATGAGAGATGCAAGGCAGACCATCAGTCTGAAATCAGTTCGGAAATCTTTTGCACTCAGAACAAAGAACGTGACTTGGATTTTCAATACTAATCTAAGATCACTTCTTCTATATGGTTGAGAGACTTGCTGAGTCACAAAAATGCATTTCTAACAGGCCAATGCAGACTTTCACCAACAGCTTCCTTCCCCAGCTCAAAACTTAAGATCAGATGGCCGGCCAGAAAAAGTAAATAGCTAGAAGCTCAGTCAGGGAGTGACCAAACCAAGAACTTATTGCCTAACATATTTGTAGAAGAAAATGGTGATGGATCGTAGACATGATGAGGATATCATCGAGTGACATCAGGAGTCAGTTCATCGCTCAACTGGGACCCCAGTGGTAGTTGACAAATTAAGCAGTTGTCCGACGATGATATGGAAGGGACTGTTTGATGACGAAATGAAGGCTTATGGACAGTTGTGGAGCCAGTTAAAAAAGAGTACAGGGAACAGAATGAAATGTTCCACTCAGAAACCAAGGAAATCATAGTAACAATATTTCTCGTTTCAGAATTACATCATGAGCCGACATCGGTAGGAGAACCACTGTAAAATCAACAAGGAGTACTGGACAGCTGTTTCACCTTAGTTTTAGACTCTTCATTAATACGTATTCACCGAGGTTTGAACCCGAGACCTTCAAGATACAAGATGAGCTCGCAGACCATTCAGCCACTGAGACCTGACCTCATGGTCGGCTCCCTGAATTTTAACTTCTGCCAACTCACGATTTAGCGTAATCAAATACCTGCAGACCAACATTTGAATATTTTTTTCGTATTTGGGGAAGAAAATATATTTGCTGCGCAGTATAATTACTGCCTACGCAGACGTTTAAAATGGAACTTATTCGTCTTTCTTTATCTTACTCCTTATTTATCACGATAGTCATTCACAATCTTTCTATTCACCATTTTCATTGTATGAATAAACAGTATTAATTTATCAACTGTATGGTTACTTTATGACTTTACTAAGCTTTTATACACTGTCCACTACTTATCAACTCAGTGATAATGTCTTGATATAACTAGCTGATTTATGAATTATTTTTAAAAGACAATTCAGCGAAGAATATGCTTCTTTATCGACGAAATCATCTTCACTGGCTGTAGAGTCGTATTATTACTAAAAGTATATAGTTTTTACTGAGTAATATTTTCAAGCATTGGCTAGCAGGGATTTTTCGCTTGATTGGTTGGAGGATTTCATCATGAGCTGACATTGGTTACAGAACCGTTAGAAAACCAACTAGGAGTACCGAACAGCCGTCTCGTACACTTAATATGGGACTCTTCATCACTACGCACCTTCCACCAGGGTTCGAACTCAGGACCTTCTCGTTACAAGGCAAGCAAACTCGTAGACCATTAAGCCACTGGGACCTAATCCAATATCCCATGAATTCCAACTTCTGCCAATCCACGACATAGCGCGACCACTTAGCAATGTCGTTGATGAGTAACTGTCCTCACCGTCTACCTGCTGTACCCTACTGGTCACGACTTCTCACTAGAATCACAGATAACTGCCTGAATAAGGCCAGTCGCTAGTGAGCATCAGATAGGGGGGGGGACATAATTAATATAATTACTCAGAAGTAGCTTCAAAAGTAAAGTTAGAAGTTAAAATATTACGTAATACTCAGCAGCACAGTGGAAGAAAGACTTAGAAATTTGATGAGGTTAAAACTGTTATTAAGTGAGAAGAAAGGCAGTTGAGTATCCATTTAACATGTGTGAAGAGGGTGAGGAAATTTGCAGAATGAAGATGTGAAAATGACAATAGGGAGTCAATTATGAAAAATTAAAAGCAAACTAATTATTAATAAAATAAAAACTACAGTGAATGATTAATTAAGACATTAAGACCATGGTAGAATAAGAGACTGTATACAGAGTTCAGGGTTGTTTTGAGGAATCGCCAGCGCCTCCGCCATACACAAATGCCTAAATCTAATGCCCTTTATACTATTCGGTCCCACCTTGTAGAAAATCTTAAAAGACTACTCTGATATAGGTGTGCGAGGCCTGAATTCACCAGGAGCTCAAGAAGTGAGAGAGTAATTGTCTTGCATTGTCCTCTTGCTAACCATGGAAAGTGTGCGCTTTTTGTGGCCAATATGACTAACTCCACAGGAATGCGTGAATTGATAAACACACACTGAAGTAGTCCAAAGTGGTGGTTTATCCACCATACATCCACTGATCATTTGTCGACTGTAGAAGGTGATCCGTAGCTCAAGTGAAAAGAAGGCTTTTCTCAGCGAAATGGATCAGCGGTTCTGTAGAACCTCAGTGACAGCATCACCTTTGAATTCAACGTTGAAAAACTGCAGATTCTTCGGCACCGTCTGGGTTCTTTCAGGCTTTTGCTTTACTTTCATGTTTTTCTCGATGAGTCTTGAAGAAATCCATTTTCCTTGAGGACTTGTCTGAATCTGTCCAGTTCACCATCGATTGTGTCACTGGTACTTATCCTTCTTATTCTTTAAGATAAGGGGTGGATAGAATTCCTCATTCTTCATGAAGGCTTCCAACTATAAAAGTTCATGCACTGACCATCCTATGTTGGTACCCTGTGGATTGATCTCTGAAGTCAACATTTAGGTCTCATTTTTAGCAAAACATACAAAATTTGGAATTATTTTAATCTTAAGTTTGCAATATCTTGTTCTTTGTGCAATGTACATTTTCGTAAGACAAGAATAGCGCTTATGGCAGTGTACTAAAATATTGGATAGAAATATAACCTCACTGTTATTAATAAAGAATAACTGACTACTGTGTGATCTCTGTGATATAACTGGTTGACAGATAGTCGGTTTATTGTGAGGATATTTAGATTCTTCCTATCGATTATAACTGATCAACCTGTTTCTTGGATGACCGGCCGTTTCGTCTCACTTGATTCACAATATTAGTCCCTCTTTCATGTCTACTTATCTTATTTCAGCGAATCTTTCTAGGGAAGCTTAAACCCATCTCTTCCGTATCAAAAGGTATATAGGACTTCGAGAAAATAACTATGATTCCCGTTTCCGATTAAATACATTTTACATTTATCCCTATTATGGCCTGAATAAACAAACAAATCCGACATCAGAACTTTTCGTTGTATGTTTGTCTTATATGTTTGGAATTTATCTGGTTTTTCATAGTTCACACTTTGTCCTGTTTCGGACTAGTTTTCAGGAGATACATACTGCCCATATCATGCCTCGCATTTCCGATTCTGGCTGGTTGGCTGGCGTTGACATCTTCATCCATGCCATCCGAGTGCCTATGGTTGTAACCGTGCTTCGTGGCAACTTCTGTTGGATCTCTCCTGTTGATGGTCATTGGTGCTGATTGTTGTTGCTGGTGCTTTTCTTTGGTTGTCTTCATCACCTCTATCTTCTCTATGTTCAATTGGCTGCTTATTTAGCCAGTTTTCTTGGTTTCCCCTTGCCTACATGTCTTCGAGTTTGTGTGACACTAAACATAATTCATTCACACACGAAATCCAGAGTCTTCTTTTCGGTGGTCCAGTGTATTCCTGTCTCCTCACTCCCTACTTACAGTCTGACGCACAATCCAGTTAGCCACAATTAATAATACCATTGGTGATAATAGGCAGCCAGCTTTTCTTACTCCTGTTTGCACTTCGAACGCCTCACTGAGTTTTCCATTGTGGATCAGCTGACACTTGGTATTGTCATATGGGCAGCTGTTGAATGAGGTTGATACAGATTTGGGCACTGCACGCCGTAGTGTTGAGGCAGTTTCGGAATTACTTCTCGGTCAACGCTGTCTGTCGAAAGCCTTTTCGAAGTCGACGAAGTTTAGGTAGAGGTTTGACTGCCATTCTATGCTTTGTTGCATGATGATGCACGTAGCTGGGGTTTTCCTGAATTCAGCTTCTTCTGGTGGAAGTTCTGCATCCATTGCATCACTTTTAGTCTCTCCAGGATGACTAGACTTAATATTTTACTCTGTGTGGACAAGAGGAT